GATGATCTCCCTAAAATACAGGGATCTACTTGAGGATCTACTTGATTCATCTCAGCACCTCAGTAGCAAAGTACCTGTCAGGCCATTGGTTATGAATAAATGTGCATCAAATGAATTAATAATAACCAAATCCAACACCATTAGCTCATGGCTCGTCATCTGCTTTAACACTTCCAGCAACATGAAGCTCACGATCTCATGAGGTGCTCCTCTTATTTATGGACAAGTACTAACATCTTTTTTTTTTGGATATGAAACTGAAATTCTTTATTCCTGTCACTTATATTAGCCATTGACAGCCCTTTCCTCTTGAGCAGCACAGAATACAGCAGTTCCTTTTCTGCATGACAATGCTGCAACTTCCTAAAGGCATGTACCACATCCCCCTGGAGTATTTTCCATTCAAGGACAAACATTCTTAGTTCTAGCTGCTGGTGTGTGCATTCCAGGAGTTCTAAATTAAGGCAAGTGGAGTTCACATAGAATTCTCATGAAGTGTGACAATGCAGAATACAAGGGAACCATCGTCTGCAGTACATTTTTAGTCATGGGACTTCACTACACATGTGTAAAAACTACCCAGTAGGTAACATGTGTTGTTTAAATCTAATAACTTTCTATCTCTCTGACACATCTTTCCTTCCTCACATGAATAAGCATCTATTGCTTTCCTTGCTCTTGCTATGTCAATAATCAGTCCTTGTCTTATGTAAAAAGTATTAGAGTGACTATTTTGTGTAGGCAAATACTCTTTTAGTTTGCCCTTGAAGAACGAGGAGAATCTATCTTTCTCTCACCAGTACCAATTGAGATATCTGAATCCTGTAAGTCTTTCCTCTGAGTTAATATCAAAAGCATTTTCAAGCCATAAAACATTGTAAGTATTTATATAGTACTATATAGCATTAGCTCAAAGTATAGTCTAACCCGTGCTTTAATTTTAATATACGGCTTTCAAAGACCAACACATTTTTAAAGACCTAGATGAATAAATACCAGTCAGGATATGGGACAAGGTTTCATTTAGGACATAGGCTTGTATTGTTTCTGAATAAAAGGTGATGGTTGGAGTCAAAGAGCAAAAATCTTGAGAAAGCCTCACTTCTCTCATCAACCATTGTCAGATTTCTGTAAACAGAGGCTGGGAGAGGATCTCTGAGTATGAAATATCAGAATAGTAAATAAAGGGAAAAAAAGAAAATAACACATGCATGCAACTCCATTCTCACTCTATTGTTTTCATATGAATTCTATAAATGCATGTATAAATATATAAAATAAAAACCTATAAATGCACATTGTTTTTAACAATGCACATAAAGGAAAAGATACTGATGACAAAGTTCTGGAGATGGGTGGTAGTGATGATTACACAACACTATGAATGTAATTAATGGTACTGAATTGTACTTAAAATGGTTAAAATGGTAAGTTTTATGTTATGTCTATTTTATCACAATAGAGAAATGCAAAGTTTATAAATTTAAAAAGATTTTGAGAGAAAGTAATATCATCATGCTTTCTCAAGTAGGGATCAGATCATTTCGAAAAATACACATTATCACCACATGATACACAAAATGATAATATTTAGTTCCCCCTTCAGTCTAGTTTTTGAAATCATTTCAGGAGAAAATTAAATACTTTAAAAGAATTTAAACATAAATTAAGTCATGAGATCAATCACTTATAGTAATTTTGTTTGCCTAAATGAAATTATTCTATTATCAATGCTATGGAGATGTTTAGCATCCTGATTTCAGGCACTGGATAAAATATTACAATGCCTATTGTTTAACATTTTATAGATTATAAGTATTTTCCTAGTGTATAATAAACATTAAGCATAAAAATGTATATAATATAATGATTTAATATGCTAATATGACATTTTTATGTTTTATAAACATTAAGCATTATCAGTATGAATTTTATTTAATGTTTTATATGTTAAGCTACATTTTTGAGTTTTTAAAATATCATTTGAGGCATATACATAATGTATGTAAATTTCAATTCACAATAAGTAATTTCATAGTTAAGCCAAATTATTGCCAAAGTAGACACTTTTAAAGAGAAATATTATTTCTTGGCTTATTTCATAAAATGCATTAATTTATATTGTTTATAAATAAGCTTGCTGTATTTAATTCGATAGAGATGCTAGGAATGTCAAATAGCAATATCAATAAGGAAATCTTTTTCAGTTTCTCATTCCAAATGAATAATAAATGGTTATATTTATCTCTTCATAAATATTTAGGCACCAGAAGTTTTGATGAGATTCTTCCTTTAAGAATTATTTTAAAATGTATTCTACACTCAAATGGGGAAAATTTTAGATAATATTAGTTTTTCATGCATATTATTTAATAATAGCAAAAGGAATCATAAAAGGAAGCTATATGGCTGGAACAAATGGAGACTATTTCTGAGAAATTGCAATTATCCTTGATTTTTGATTTACTCTTATCCACCGCAAGGTGATAAATTTGACAAAAAGTCTTCTTAATGGTTTCTGTGCATGAAGAACTAGTTATCATTCTATTAATGAAGTGCCTCATCATCCACTCTTTTCCTGCCTGGTGGTCTGAGGCATTGTTAATATCAAGACTTCTGTCTCCAGTGAAAATCAATGCTCAAAAAATCTATTCCACAGTTTATGCCAGAATTGCCTTACCTTTAGTTCTAAATAATAAGCATCACATCAAAATATACATACACAATTATAAAAGTCATATTATGAACATTCATGCTCTTCTGCAAGATAATACTTTCTAAAGGCATTAGAATTCATCTAAAGTTGATATTGAGTAAGTAAAGTCAAGGGGAGAGCAAGTCTTTTGACTCATATAATTATCCTCTGTCTAGTATTAGTATGACAATAGCAATTATATTCTTAACCCATGCTTTATGCTTATGTTCATCTTTATGTGATTTTATCTTGCTTTTTTTAAGTTAGATATTGGCTCTATTTATAGTTATTTCACCAGTATTAAATCTTTAATCCTTTTTATGCCACATTACTCTGAGTATATAATCTCACCCACTCTGTAGAGTTAATCACTGCAACCCAATAAGTGTACCTCACACTGAACCCCCGTCTTCACCCATCTCTACACACTCTCCTTTCTCTTTCTTCCATCTCCTCTATCTCTGAGGAGTGCTTCTCAGAGTTTGAAAGGATCTAAGAGACATATGCTGCCCATACTTTTGTTTCCGGTCAGAATATCCATTATGGTAAATTTGGAAAAGACAGGTAATTATATAAGAAAAATAACCCATAGTACTCCCATCTGACAAAAGGATGTATGATACTTCAGATAACTTCTCTTCATTATTTGTCTATACATTCAGCCTATTATCCAAATCTTCTTAATTGTTCCGAAATGTTCTACCACCTTAAACTTCATTGAACAACTTCCCCAAACTCTTTCCTCAACAAATTTCCCTTTTTTCTACAAATATATATGATTTTCCCACAGTTAAACAATAACCACCACAAAGCTTCCTTAACACTGACCTTGCCAAACATCTTATCTTCACTGCCGTGCTTCTTGAAAATAACTTATGTTCTAGGTGTAACCTCCCCATCACACACTCACTCTTAACACTTGACACTCTGGCTTTTGGTCTCTGATCCTATTTCCAAACTAAAAGAGCTTCTTTCTCCTAACCTTTCTGGATTCTCTTCGGCTCTGATGATCCCTTCTTAAAGGCCTGATGTGGTCCTTACGACAATCTACTCTTTTCTTAAGTTTACCATAGGGAGCAACTTCCTGCCTGTTTCTCTTAACTTTTTGATGACTTCTCTTCCCTATTGGCTTGCTGAGGAGAGTAAGAAGTGAGGAGAGAATGGCAGACTCAGTTGACAGAAAGTTTGCAGTTTCTCTGTTTCCACTTAATTGACTTTGCGTTTCTAGGCAGTATTAATACATAGTTAATTACTAATTAACCTATATCTAATTGGTATTCCAGATTTTAGCACACACTTACGAGGAAGCATAAATTTTGAACTGTTTAGTCTATTTGCATGTATAGTGTCTGAAATTAATACCTTTCAAATTGATGTAGCTCTTTAAAGATTTATTTACAAATTGAAAAAGAAATTTATTAGTTCAGTATGTTAACAATTTATTCCATTATTTTAAGCTAATATAATAAATATTATTGAATTCAATATACAATATGTTATAATGTACTATGTAAGAGTTAATAAAATAACTGTCGTTGTGGAGTTCCTGCTTTAACTGTGACATGAACACCTACTTCGATCACTTGTCACGTGACTGGATCTCCTTAAAAACTCTACAGCATTCAAAAATAAATTCTCTAGAAACAAGGGCACCTCATTTCATTTAAAAGGGAATCCAAATCTTCCTGAGTATCCTCCTGCCATTTTCTTTACTTTCCATAGATTCTTATATATTTGGCTTTGAAAACTGCAATTTAAATGGTTTTACTTAAAAATGTGACTGGCTTCAAAAGCATAGACCAGAAAAATTAGTGACCTTGGTCTTCTGAGTTAGTCTCCCTTCCCCTGTGAGAAGCATGTCTAGATTTATCCAAATCCATTCTCCCTAACCCTTGATAAAGATAGCAATAGAAGCTCCTTGATTTTACCACGTGTTGACAAGGTCCCACACTGAATATAATTGAACCCAACCAAGAAAACCTGAAATGAAAAGCTATTTTAGCCAGAAGAATCAAAAATCAAATAAGCCCAGAGTTTTGAAAATTTAAAGTGGAACATACAGAGAATCCCTAGCTAACAAATTTGGACTTGACACCTATATACGAAATGGTTTATGTCTACACAAATTTCAATCGAAAGGGAATAGTTCTGCAGCAGCAAGTTAAGAGTCTATCTTCCTTTGCTTAATGTGCAGCACATTGAATCTTTATTGCACTATTAGAATAGGCAACATCCATGCCAAGATTTAATTAAAGCTTAAATATTTGAAGGGGTGGTGATAATTTGTCTCTAATCAAAAATTTACCTGTTTTGGGATCAATAGAGAAATAAGGTTGTCCCTGAAGAATGCTGTAAACGACTCTGGCACTGCTTCCATAGGTCGGGTCGTCTGCATCCGTGGCCTTGACCTGGAGCACATAGGCACCTGGAAAATGAGACAATATGACTCTAGCATCTTTGTTTTACAGAGCTCAAGGTCATGTCTGTCATCTGCTGGCTCCACTTTCCTTTGGAATTTCGCATTCCTCAATGATTCTGTGAGTATATGATGTCACTGAGAATATTTAACTATTATAACCAAAATGTTGGGCAGATATTAGCCATTAGTGCAAATGATACATATTTTAAATATCTATTTTTAGAGCTGTGTCCATTTCCAGTACCTAGATCATTGAACTGGAAGTCATCATGATAGCTTTATTGATTTGCACACCAAAGAAAACATGACACTGCTTACATTAGCTCATCCGCTTTAATTCTATGATTAGGATATCAATAGAGAAGCTAAAAGGTTTAAAGGCTTACTGAAATTTAGAGGGTGTTAAGTAATTTGCAATTGCAATTTAAAAATCAACAACAACATATGGCGTTAGGAAGCCTAATTAAGGACCAAATATTTAGGAAATTCAGGAACTGAAAATAATATTAATTATAGTTACAGGAGCACCTCTATGCCTCATGACTGAATTAACTTAAGGGTTCATTGACATAGGAAAACACTGAAGGCAATGTAAATTATCTGTAGCTTTGCTAATTTTTTGACATTTGGTCATATTATTTATGTACTAGGAGAAGTTGAAGGGAGATTTGTTCCTGCATTTTTGTCTATGTATTCACAATCATAGTTAAGTCCTCCTCAAGGAGTTTTTAAGTGGGTATCTCTTCTTAATGCTATGTTCAAAATTACTAGGCTGAGTTGAGAGTAAAGTAAAATTAAAAGTGTCAAATGATATAAATAAAATAAATATGTCAGTAGATATTGTAACGGTAGCATCTTCTGGTAGTCAGAAGAAAATCTTTACTAAGCATAAAGGAGTGGTTTGTACATCCAAAGTTAGACAATGGACAGAACATCTTCATCTCTTGGAGGCATTCACAGTAACTGCTTGCTTTTGGGAAAGCAAGATTACTCCTTTCCTTTCAGTTACTTCTTCAGGCTTTTTTCTTCAGGCAGTACAAAATTGGAAGAAACTAAATCTTAAAGGTTTGCTCTAAAAGCTAAGAGAATGAATTATCTTGTTACCTTTATTTTTTTAATAAATAAAGTGTTAGAATGGTGAAAAAATAAGAAATGATAACTTTCAGTAGATATTTAATGCCAAATGCTTTATTTTAAGATGCTTTGGTGAATTCCAGCTATATCAACAGATGAAAAATATGCTTTATTACAGCAGCCTTTCCCAGGAAAGGAAACTTCTAAAAGGAAAGTAAGCAAACATTACTAGGATGTCAAGAGTGATAACTGATATCATCGTCATCACTATCATCAATATGAGTACCATCATTAATAATTATTTGACAAATAGGCGTTGGGGACCTGTATTAAAGATTCATCAAAACTACATCCTCCTTAATGCTATAGGGATGAATAGTTTATCAGGAGTAAATTTCTCTCTTCCCTCTGCTCTTCCCCCTGGATCTTCACTATCCTTTCATCACACATGTGTTGTGTGGGCAAAGTCTACAAATATTAAATAATGCCCAAATTCTAGACATAAATATTGCAGTCGAAAAGCTGTGGATTATTTAACTCTGAAGACACATTTGAAGAAAAAAGCATTTTATCTGCAAAAACTATTTTGTAGCAAACCAAATAAACTTTTACCTGACTCACACCATATGCTCAATGGGGAATACAGAGGCAAATAAAATAGTATCTTTCCTTTTACGTTTTTGTTGTTAATATTAATATGAACCTTCACTAAGTATGCAGGAAAATATTTTCTTACAAAAGTGGTATTGCATTCTTTATGTTCATTATTTTTTTCTTTAAAGCTCAATATTAAGAGAGCAAATTAAGAACCACTCCCATAAGTCATAGAAGCAGCAGATACGTGTTATTCAATTCCACTTTATGCAACTCGAAAGGATCAATGGATAGTAAGAATAACTGCACTTGTAGCATTTTTCTCCGGTTTCATCCATACTATCAAAAATGATTGTTCAGGGGCCAGCCCCATGGCCTAGTGGTTAAGTTTGGTGTGCTCCTCTTCAGCGGCCCAATGTGCTGGCTTGGATCCTGGGTGCAGACCTGCACCACTTGTCAGCCATGCTGTAGTGGTGATCCATATATAAAATAGAAGAAGATTGGTACAGATGTTAACTCAGGGCTAATCTTCCTCAGCAAAAGGGAAAAAAAGACTGTTCACTCAGTTACAGTAGAGATTAACTCTGGTTTAGTGAAAAAACAGATTCCAATGTTAGTTATTAGAAAGTGCTTAGAGCTGCCTCAATAGATGTTTCCAAGAACACAGTTAAACACCATTATATCAGCTTGTTTTACCGGTTCTTTCATGAATTTCACCACACTAATGCAAAAGAGAGATTTCATATGCCCTTCATTAGGAAGACTCGGTTAATTGCCTGCAGCATGTAAATCTCCAGACTAACTTCCTCAGTGCTTGTATAGCACACCAGTTCCCGGCACTATTAAACACTAAATGCCCAAGAGTTGTGGTTGGGGACATGCTTAATGTGCAAGAAGGAAATAATATAATCAATGATGTTCACAAAACTGGTGTAGTCTTATGTAGCGGTCATTTTCAAATTTAGTCTCTTGTCACTCAAATCTAGGATGACAACATAATATCTCCAAACATTAAAGTGCGGAAAGAATGTAACTCACAGAGAAACCATTCCTTTATGAGCAGCTGGAGAAGGAGTGCAGAATGGGCAATGGAAAGCATTGAATCACTTCAATTTTCCATGCAACACTGCTCTCATTAGTAGTAAATTAATTAGTGTAATTTTTAGTAAAGATCAAAGCTAATACTAAAAACGTTATTTTATAGTAATAGTAAAATTTATAGTAACTAGTAATAGTAAAATTCTGAATTTATAGCAATAGTAAAACTAAATTTTAAGCAGTCACTCAAAAGTGAATATATATAATATGTACTAATATCATATATGTGTATATATATAAATAATAAAGCAAGAACAAATAAATTGATCATTGAGAGTTATGGCACCATCAGGAAGAAAGAACGAACATTAGGAGAAGGCTATGTGATATAAAATGAAAACCAAACAGGGGTTTTGCTAAAACACTTAAAAATAACTGTGCATTATAGCTCGTATGAGAACCAATTTGGATATCATTTTTAGTACGCATATATGCATATATCAAAATGTATTTGAAAAATTAGTTCCATGTTGTTAAATTCACAGTCACTATATGATGTGATCTCAATCTTTTGCCAATAAACATTCGTATCATCATAACATTTTGAATAAAAAACATATTAAACAGGGATACATTACCTACATGAATTAAATTAGTCAATATTTTCTCCCATTTATGTTGAAGACTAATTAAAGACATGGTGTTTGGCTTAGTAATCCCAGTTTGAGAATCCCTACATATAATATTTTATATGGTTGGGCAATAGACCTACACAAACACAGGAAATCACACACACAAAAGAGTGATTTAACAGTTTTCTCAAAGTTATGAGCATGCATTCACCCATTCAGTCAGTTATTCGTTTAACAAATATTCAGACTTCCTATGATGTGCCAGGCACACTGTTCAGGGTACTAGCGAAACATCACGAGTGAAATTGAGAGGCCAAAATACTCTATGATACTATTCTATCTAGAGGGGAATTGGAGAGGGAATAATTTTTTTTGTTTTAAGATTTTGTTTTTTTCCTTTTTCTCCCTAAAGCCCCCCAGTACATAGCTGTATATTCTTCATTGTGTTTCCTTCTAGTTGTGGCATGTGGGACGCTGCCTCAGCGTGGTTTGATGAGCAGTGCCATGTCCGTGCCCAGGATTCGACCCAACGAAACACTGGGCCGCCTGCAGTGAAGTGTGCAAACCTAACCACTCAGCCACGGGGCCAGCCCCAAAGAGAGGGAATAAATTTTAAAATAAACAAATATATAGACAGAGAGAGAGAGAGACAGATGATATCCCATTGTGATGAGCGCTAAGGAATAAAATATGACAGTGTAAGGAGTGACAAGGTAAGGGACTTTTTCATATGATGATCAGGAAAAGCAATTTTGAGAAAACTCATTTATGTGAGACATGAATGAAGTGAGAGGTAAGAGGTTTTTTTTTTTTTTTTTATGAAAGCTCATGCCATGCAGAGGTAACTGTAGATACAAAATGGTCTTGAGGCAAGGGCTGTTGGAAGTGTTGAGGGGAACCTCAAGGAAATCAGAGCCCCCTTCCCTGTGGATTGAAAAGCAGATGGGATAGAGAGGTGGTGGAGAAGCCACTGTTTTTAAGCGACCGTTAGGACTCTTTCAGAGTTTAGCTACCCCTCCAACATGCATCTATCTTGTTATAACTACCTATCTATCTTCTTACCTACTAATCTGTATTTCATTTTCATGAAAGAGAATGGAACTATTCACATTGTGGAACCCTACTTCACTCATTAAATAATAAATTGGGGAGGCGTGTTATAAAAGCACATAAGTATTATTAAAATAATAAATATTATTAAATAATAAACACACATAATCATCTGTAATTAATCTCTTTTAGTGGACACTCTGTTTAAAGGATTTTGGGGTGTTTTTCCTATGACTGACAATTTTACAAATTGGTAAATTCCTACCATTGAGATAGCTGGGTCCAAAAGCATATGAATTCAGCATGTTGATATATATTGTCAAGATGTGACTACCTAGAGATTATACTAATTTACATTCTTGCCAACAGAGTCTGTTTTCCAGTTTTCTCACCAGCATTCATTGTTCTTATTTTGATTTTGTAGATTAGGAGTGAATTTAGCACCATACGTGGATTGGTCATTTTTATTTTGTGTGTATGTGTATAAACTCTACTCAGATTCTTAACCCATTTTATTTTCATAGCTTGTATCTATCTGTCAATCTACCTATTGAAAGTATATTTACTAGCTTATTTTGACTTAGTTTGTAGTCACTTTTTTCATTTTATGATCATTTT